AGAAACCACAGAATCTTAGACCTGGAAATAACCTTAGGAATTACTTTTTTTTTTTTTTAAGATTTATTTATTTATTTATACAAGCACTGCGTACAGTCAGAAGTGCGGGAGGATGAGAGAATTCACCAGAGCCAGAGTGGGGAGCAGAACAGGCAGACTGACGAAGTACACTGCTGAGGGGAGCAGTGGGTGTGGCAGGAGAGGTCTGCGCGCCATGTGGGACCCTCCCCGGCAGCCGGGGATCGAACCGGTGCTGCAGAGGCTGCGGGCAGCTTCGCAACCCAGCGCTCAACTGCTGCACCACTTTGCGGGGGGGCAGGAATTACCTCTTTCAACAGATTATAAAATGAAGGTCTCATGGTTATAGAGTATATCTGTGGAGGACATGCAACTTGAACCCAATCCTCAACTCCCAGGTCAGAACTCTTTCTGCTAAACAAGCTGTGACAAGTACTACTAAGAGCGAACTGAGCACTAGGTACGAGCATTAAGACTGCTAGTGTAGGGCCTCCCCGGTGGCGCAGCGGTTGAGCGCTGGGTTGCGAAGCTGCCCGCAGCCGCTGCAGCGCAGGTTCAATCCCCGGCTGCTCCCTGGCCACCAGAGGAGGGTCCCACATGGCGCGCAGACCTCTCCTGCCGCCCACTGCTCCCCTCAGCAGTGTACTTCGGTCCTTCTGCCTGCTCTGCTCCCTGCTCTGGCTCTGGTGAATTCTCTCACCCTCCCGCGCTTCTGACTGTACCCAGTGCTTGTATAAATAAATAAAAAAAACTTAAAAAAAAAAAAAAAAAACTTAAAAAAAAAAAAAAAAAAAAAAAAGACTGCTAGTGTAATAGCAGCATAGAATTGCACAAAGACTACCAAATGAACACAAAATAAAATCTGTGTAAGCTAGCCACTCAGCAGAATCATACTCCTGTGAATCTAAAAATCTAAAGATTGGGCCTTTCCTGGTGGCACAGGTGGTTGAGCGCTGTGCTGTGAAGCTATCCGCAGCCTCTGCAGCGCAGGTTTGATCCCGGCTGGTCGGCGAGGGTCCCACATGGTGCAGCAGACCTCTCCTGTCGCGCCCGCTGCTCCCCTCAGCAGTGTATTTCGTCAGTCTGCCTGTTCTGTTCCCTGCTCTGTCTCTGGTGAATCCTCGTATCCTCCCACGCATCTGGCCTGTACCATGGTTCTTGTATAAATACATAAATATTTAAAAAAAAATCTAAAGATTGTTAGGGGTAGTGAAGCACCCCCCTTTCCTAGTCCAAAAAGAAGCAACCAGACTGGGGGGTGGTGGGAAGGAGGGAGAGTTCCTTCCCAAGTGTTGAAAGAAAATGTATAAGGCTTCTTTCTTGGGGGGAAGTAGAATACAGGAGGGGGGTGGAATTGAAAGGTATACAGGACAGGAGAGGAGCCAGTGGAAACTGAGGTGTCAGCAATCTCTAAAAGCAACACCTCCTTCTCCAGCATAGTAACATGTTAACTCTCTAGAACTGGTAATATCCAAGTGTAGCCTCGCCGTCTCCAGGCATCGACTTGAATAAAAACAGGACCAGGTAGCAGGCATTCCTGGAGATCTCCTTCCCTGCTGCAGGCTGGGTGGGGAGCCCTTCCAAGGACCCCCACAATATTTAGCAGAGCTCCAATATTGTTTTTTGTAGAGACTTCTGATGAATGATGTGTTTATGCTCCATAACTGGAGTCTCTGCCACCAGACCATGAGCTCCTTGGGGACAGGACTGTCTGATTCATCTTACTCATTCTAGCGTGACGCCTTCACGTGCCAGTAACTCAGCAGCTGACTGTGCAGGAATAAAGGTCTTAACTCAGTCATTGCTCTTCTGGGAGTTGAGTTCAGACTGTCCTACCCCCACTCCAGGTTTGGGCTTGATATGCCTCCTCCACATTCTAGAGCACCTAGGTAGTCTCATCATAGTTTTTTTCACCACCATCTCAAAATTACCTAGAAGCTTGTTTGAGTCACTGACTCCACTGACTCAATGTAGACTGACTACATTTTGAGGACAAAATGTCTTTTTTTAAAAATCTGTTTATTCTCAGCACCTAACATAATACTTGGAAACCACAGGAATTGAATACATGCTTATAGTATGGATGAATGAATGAATATAACCAAAAGGGCAGGTGCCAAACGAAACACTAATAGAGGCAGCAATCTTTATCACAGAGAAACTCAAAGGAGTCTCCAAGAAAATACATCTCCAGCTCCCCACTCTGTTCATGGAGTGTGTCAGGGTGGCCGCACAACTCCAGCATTTCTTGCAGCCGCTGCTGCTGGGAAGGAAGAACACCATCCATATTCAGGAACAAAGACAGAGTGAACCCTCCTTCAAGTGCTATTGCTTGAGGGCACCTGTTGCTAAAATAGCAGCTGGTAAGCATTTTGTTTTGTTCAGGACAACAACAACAAAAAACAATCTATTACAGGAAGGAGCATCATGATGACAATAAGAAATCATGAGGCTAAATATATAGCAGGAAGAAATGCAGAATCTAAGCAATGGAAGATGAGGAAGGAGCTGCTAGAGCCTGAGGAAAAAAATGAAGTGTTGATTAGAAATTGCTCAGCCAGCATTAAAAGAGAGAAACAAGGGGAGGGGGGTAGGTTGGGAGGAGAGAGAAAGAAAAAGAGAGAGGGGAGCGGGAGGTGATAGGGAGGGAGGAGAATGAATGTGTGTGTGTGTGTGTGTGTGTGTGTGTGTGTGTGTTTTCCTGGCTCTCTGACTCATTTTTAATCTGTCCTTTCCTTTCTCCCTCCCTTTCTTCCACCCCCTCAAGAGAGAATTCATTGATTAAGCTGGGCTAAAATTTCTTACCTTTCCTCTCCTGGTTTCTCTATGAACGATGTCTGAATGCATCTCACCCCTGGCTGCTGTCCCTCCTCCCTCTCCTCCCCAGCCGCCATTGTTAGCTCCTCCACTTGGCTCAGGCTGAGAGGTAGTTTATCCAGTGGCACCTGACAGCCTCGATGGGACAAGAGGGAAGCAGGACTGGGAACAGTGGTGCCGGGGTGGGGACCAGTGGGAACTAGGAACCAGCCTCGCTAGGGGAGCATGAAGCCCCCCCCCCTCCAGCTTTCTGATAGCTGAAGTAGCCCTGGTAACTAACCTGTTGCCTGCTTCCAGGCAGGGGCAACCTTTTCCAGGGCAGATGGAAGGAGGCACTGACAAAGTAGCATCTCCCCTCAAAATAAAACCCTTAAAGAGAAACTCAGAAAGGCAGCTTAGAAGAGTGCAGCAAGAACTGGCCCAGGTGCTGGAGAACCGGGTTCCTGTCGCTATTCTGTTCATGTTGGCTGTGTGCATATCGCCTCTCATCTCTATAAACCAAGAGAACTGATCTAGATGCAGGGGAGAAGTCTGTGGTCCCTTCCAGGGATCTGAATTGGTTCATAAAAAGCTGTTAGCCACCTATAAGGGCTGTATGTTGTCCCTTCATCTCCCACTCCTTGCAAGGAGTGCTCTTCTTGGGCATACCCCAGGGTGCCTGAGAGAGCAGCCCTGACTCAGGGACCCTCTCCCCAGGGGAAGCTTTGCAGACTTCAGGGAGATGGTGATAGAGACTCAAGGTCTAAGTTCCCCTCACATCAGTAGAGGGAAATTAAGGACATTCAGAATCAGGGAGGGTGGAAGGCCCTAGGAGACCAGAGGAGTGGGGAGGCATGGATCTGCCAAACCCTGAAATTAGAGATGATTCATATTTGAATAATGTGGGAGGGATGAACTCAGAAGAGCCAAGAGAAGAGGCTAACTCTGTGGAGGATGCACCCCAATCTAAACCCAACAGTGGGGAAGAGGCAGGGTTAGGGACCCTCCATTTGGAATAGATTTTAAAAAACCCTGAGGCAATCAATAATCTTATTCTGAAGCTAAGGGAAATAGAATTCTCCTCCTTTCTTCTTAAATATTTTACCCTCTGTTGATGACTTGCCTTGGAAATTTTAAATTTGCTCCCCTTTTCCTACTGACTTGATTTTTTTCAAATCTTCTGGTTGATAACCACAGAAGGGACAAAACTTCATTTTTGCATGCTTCTTCCTATTTTCTCTCCCACTTCACTGTCCCCATCTTGTCCTCACCACCTTTCTAATTCCTTGCTGGTCTCTCGCATCATGGTAATTTCAATGCTTGCCTCTGATCCAGTCCAAGCTGCCCCAACCTTCCTATACACACACTCCCCAACTCCAAGCTGGCCATCCTGCCTGGACCCCTGTCCTCCCCCTCTTAAAGTGTGTGGGACAATGTGTTAGGAACAAGAGCCTTTCCAAACCCCAGAAGGGTGGGGAGAAAGTTCACAAACAGGAGGGAAGATCCAGCTAGAGGAAGTGACTGATGCAGGAGAGAAGCCCAAGGCTACCGGATATCCTTCAAATTACCTTTTCTAGAAGATGTGGAGCCCCTTTCTTGGGGAAGGAAGCCTCTACTCCACTGCCCACTCCTCAAGCGGTACTAAGCGAGAGTGCGAGGCCCTAACCCCACAACCAAACCAACCTCCATCCTAATCTCCAGGAGCTGCAGGGAAAATACTCGGGGGCTCCCATGTGTCTCTCTCCCGGGAAGGAATTAAGGAGATGCTATTCCACCCACCCCACACCTCCGGAAAACCAGCTCTCTTAATTAACCAGTCTCCTCCAAGCCTCGGTTTTTCTAGACAGGTTTTCCCCAGGACTCAGAGCACCACAAACTCAGGCTAAGCCTGAGGGTGAACCGTTGTAAGGAGGTGAAATGCACATCGGCAAGACCGATCTCCTAGGGAAGGAGTCAGACACCTGCATCTCGATCCGTCTCACTTGTCATGGGATTCTCCCCCGACCCCCATTTTTCTCTTACACACACACACACACACACACACACACACCCCTCCCCCCCCCACTTACCACCAGCCTACAAAACCGCTTTAAACACACCGGGGAGAATGGGGGTGAGCTGGGGTGCGCACAGCACAGCTACGGGAAAATACAAAGTTACTGGTTTCGGTAGAAAACGAGACTTACCTGTCAGCCAGCAGAGAGCCACGCACGCCAGCACGACCCTGTCCATTCTCCCCAACTTCCCCCGCCAGGGAAGGAGCGCGCAAAGTGGGAGCGACAGGCGCGCGGAGCTCCGCGGCGGTGGCACGGGCGGCGCGGGCAGCGGGCCCCCAGCGTCCCCCGGCGCCTCCCCGCCCGCGGGGCGGCCGCGCAGGCGGGGCCGGGCTGACCGCGCCGCCGGCGGAAGGCGCGCTGCCGCGGGCTCGGGGTCCGCGCAGCGTCGGCGGCGCCTCCCCGCGGCCACCGCGCACCCGCACCCGCACCCGCGCGCCCTGGCAGCGCCGCGCCGGCCGAGCGCCTCCCCGCCAGAGCCCGCCGCGCGGGGGAGCTCGGCCGCGCCTCCCCGCCGCCCGCCGCCCCGGCTGCCGAAGTTTCTGGGTCACGTGCCGGCCTCGCCGCGGGGGCAGCGCCGAGCTGCAAAGCGCACCGCGCCCTGGAGGCGCGGGTCGGCCTCCGCCGGCCGCACGGACCCTGGGGAGGTCTCGGCGCCCCTCCAGAGCTGCCCAAGTTCGGACCCCCGAGCCAGAACTGGGGGAGGGGACTGGAGCGTCGGGGGGTCTGTGCCTGCTTGGCTCCCCGCCAGCCGGGAGTGCGGGGAGGGACAGAGCGGCCGGGGTGGGACCCGCGGGGACGCGTGGCTTGACCTAGCCCGGCAACTCCTCTAGGACTGTGGCTGTGCCCCTGCCCCTTCTGGTTCCTTTTTGGACAAGGAGCCAAGAGGCTGCGCAGAATTCAAACAGGTGGGCGAACTCCCCTGTCGTAACTTTCTTCTCTTAAATTGGTATGAGGTTGAGTAAGGGCAGCCGGCTGTATTCTGTGTAAAACCAGAATGAACTAAACAATTTGTACAGTTGTCCAACACTGTGGTTTGCAGGGCACGTTCACAAGGATTATATTTATTTATTTATTTATTTATTTATTTATTTATTTATTTATTTATTTATTTAGATTTATTTATAGAAGAACCAGGGTACAGGCCAGATGTGTGGGACGGTGAGAGGACTCACCAAAGGCAGAGTAGGGAACAGAACAGGCAGGCTGGCTGAAACACACTGATGAGGGGAGCAGCGAGCGCGACAGGTGAGGTCTGCCGCGCTGTGTGGGACCCTCACCTGCCCGCCAGTATCGAACCAGCACTGCAGAGGCTGCGGACAGCTTCACAGCACTGCGCTCAACCGCCTGCGCCACCAGCGAGGTCCTCTTTCTATTTTCTTTTAAACTGTTCTGTCTTGTGTGGAAGTAGTCTATAGTATGTGTTGAGACAACTAAGAAACCTATGCTTTGTTTCACAAATACGTACTAAGTACGAGGTGCTTGGAGAAGGCTACAAAGACGAATCAGAGTCATCTTGCCCAGGGAGAAGGTAGAGTGAACACATATTCTTAGCAACATGGGGCAAATGTGATAACAGAGATAGATATAAAGGATAAGGGACCGGCCCTCAGAACATAAGGGAGCTATTTAGTGGAGGGATAGAAACACCCCATCTCAATAGACATTGGCAGAATGGGTGTGATTTGGGCTGTTCAGGGATTGATGGTGGAAAGGGGGCAGGGCAGGAGGAAGTCCAAGCAAAGAAAAGAATGGAAACAACGCAGAAAAGTATAAAATTGCCCCTGAAACCAGAGTGTTTCTAAAAGGTTTGAAGAGTACCTCGAAAGAAAGACTCCATGTACTTCAGAATGAATGTAAATGTGGTGAGGGGATGAGATGAGCCTCAGAAAAGGGGAGAATACTTTTGGGACAGTGGTCTCTTCTGGCAACCTGATATATGAATCCCCTTCTTATTTTTGAGGAATTCTAACTACGGAAGCCAGAAAGTTTAGAACCACCTTTTCAACCACCCCAGCAAGACACAGGCTTGGGCCCCAGGAATGGTCGGGAACCCTCTAAACGAGTGTGCTGAATCTGGAGCAAGAGATGCAAGACACAAGGATAGCAGAGAGTTGGTTTTGCCACTGCGGTGACAGTGGCATTCAGAGTTTAGGGCCAGTGGTGCCACCGTGCTCTGAGGTGTGATTTTGGCTGTGTAGCCTCTCTGGGTTCTGGCTGGTTTTCTGCACCTGGCTCTTCAACCTTCTTGGCAATTCCCTCTTTTGTTTATTTTTGCCAGAGATGTCTGATGCGTGCAATTAAAAACCCTGGCTAATACACTGTGTGAGAGCAATCTGGAAGATTACTTCCTTTCATATACAATAAAATAAAATATAGAAAAGAATAAAGAAGGTACCTAACATCTGTAGGTTCTAGGTACAGCTCTAGATGTTTTATAAGCGTTCTCATTGAATTGTTTTGAGGAAACTTAAGCCCACAGAATTTAATAAACTTTTCCAATAACAGGAAACTAGTAAGTGGCAGAGGTAGGATTTGAACTGAGGTCTCTTGACTCCAAAGCACTTTGCACCATAAAAGGGACATCTAGACCAGAGGGTTGAGGTGATGCTGCATTGATGTGTGTGTGTGTGTGCATGTACACATAGCATACTCGAAGATTTAAATCGTGTTTAATAATTAAGCATATGTAGCAATGGCATTTTATGTAAAATGTGGCATAAGAGCAGGTTCACACAATTGAGAAATTGGAAATGGGAGATAGATGGAGTGAAAAGAACCTGGATGTACATGTGAAGAATGTTCAGAAAAGTGAACTTAGAACATGTGCTCAGAGTATGGGCTCTTGTGTATGTCACCAAGACATTAGGTACCTAGAGAGAAGCTTGTCCCAGGGTGAGTCAGGGGACCCAGGGGCCTTGTACTACATGCTGGCAATTGGTTTTCTGTATAGTACTCTCCAGGTCTGTCTTCTAGATAGAATGGTACTTTTGGTCTATCTGTATCTTTTTGAGTGGATGGGGCTCTGGACCATCCCTAAGGGGATGCTAAGCTGGAATAAATGACAGTGTGTGTCCCTTCTCAATGCACAAAGCATACCAAGCTGATGAAGGGTTAGGAGAGACCATAAGGGTACCCCTAATGACTAAAGCATGCAGCCTGAGGGATGGAAGGAGTAGGGTGGTGGTATTATTTTGTTGTCTTAGGGGTGAGAGTAGGATCCTGGTGCTTTTCTAAGTTGGTTTTATGATGTCCAACATCAGCAGCGCATAAAAGTGCTGACTTGACACACCGAATCCCAGCCTCCACTAAAAAAAATGAGCTGAGAAACTCTGGATGGGGCCAGGAAATCTGCATTTAGCAGCCTTCCTCAAGTGCTTCTGACACATACTCCTGTTTAAGAAGCATTGCTTTATCAGAAGCACTACCAATCACCTTTTGTTCTCCTGGGAGCTGTTGAGTTGACATATGTGAATGAACCTCAGGTCTGGTTAAGTTCTAGTCTGTTTATTCTGGCCAAATAGGACAGGACCCCCAAGTAGAGACTGACTCCTTATAGTCAAGAGAGGGTCTGGATACTCCAAATTTTGCTGCAACAAACATGTCAGAACATAGGTGGGCACAGCAGGATTTCCAGGACTCCCACAGCTGGAATCTTGTGTGATGGGGAAGGGGAGAAACTGACACAAAGCTTTGTCAAAGCCTCACACTAAAGAACAGAATTAGGACACAGAGAAAAGAGAAGTGAGCCACCGCAAGGAGACATGCGGGTAGCTGGTAGCTGGTAGCAACCACATGGTTCTAAATATAATGTGGCTGAATCCTCTTTAAAACATGATTTCATTGCATGCACACAGGCATGCTTGCACATGAATCCTGCTCCTCATAGGGCTTTTGAAAGCACAGAGATGACATTGCATTTCTGCTTCTCTCTGATCTCGAGTTCTAGGGGGAGTCTATGAGGTGTGACTTTAACATATATACCATGTTTCTTATCTAGGTTTTGTTCATCTGTCTTCCCCCTTCCCCTCAGTGCTACCTTTCAGATTTGTTATCTTCCCCATCCTGCATGTTTTCAAAACCAGCCTGAATGAATTATGCATTTTTAAAAAATCTAAATTAAAACTAGGAGCTTAAAAAAAGAAACTGGAGACTCTAGACACACTATACTGAAAGTTGGAAACATTTTCAATCTGGAAGTCCTTACATATTGAGGAATAAATTGTTTCATTAGGAAAACGCTTTAAAGAAAGGAAATGCAAATGTAAAGAGCATGATGCCAAAAAAAAGAAAAAAAAAAGCTGTACTGCCAAGAACAGAGGTAAGTACATAATAAGTAAAAGATTGGGAGAGTGTGCTGAAAATTCCATGTACTGGAAGCAGATTTCAGCCAATACCTGCTGTCTTAGGCTTCAAATCAAACTGCAGTGGTGCAGGGCACTGAAGGAGGTGACATCTGCTTGCGCCATCCTGAGGCCAGACCCCACTAACGGTGGACAGCTGTCTCCTGAGCTAGCTGTCTAATAATGCTTCCCCCACAGAGGTCTATCCAAGGATAATGTGCAGGAAAAAAAAAGAGCCAAGTATAAAGTTATATTTAGAGCATGGTCTCAAATACAAAAAAATGCATTTAAAAGAAAGGAAACAATAAAAGAGCAACAACAGTTATCTCTGGGTAGGACTGTCATTCATTTCTCGTTTTTTTTCTTTATAATTTTCTGTATGGCTAATAGTTTTATGATGTAAAATATTTTAGTAGAGAAAAGATACAGCTGTGCCACAATTTACTCAGTCCCTATACATCCCTAGAAAAAGGAGAGAAGCATGAAAAAGGGGTGACAGGTGTTTTGTCAGGTCTGTATCTTCAGCTAGTTACAAAGCCCCCAAATGTATACCTACTCTCATTCTGCCTCCATCATGAGCAGTTAATCAAGCTAATTAGGAGCAGTTGAAACCTTTGGAGCCCTTATTGAATGATAGTTCAACCTCTAATTTCTTCATAAGTTAGTCAGAAATGAAGGCTGCTTCTCTTTTGTGAGTCCTGTCTTCACTTTCATTTTTGTTTTTGTTTTCATATTAGCATCCTTTGGAGACAGGAACATCAGTGACAGGCCCCCAAATGAATAGCAGGGCAGAATTCAGTGATTAAGCAGCATCCTTCAACCCAGAGGGGGTAAAAATATAGGGGGAGTGGCTGCCTGTGTTTTATCAAGGCTTTGGGTGCAAGGTTTTGATGAT